GAATTTCCTGTCAGCCAGTTGTGTTCTGAAAAATTCTGATTTTGCTTGAATGCATGTATAGCGGATGTAAAGGTCCAGCCATGCTGTGCAAACATGTTCCTGGCTGCTGCTGAGAACAGAAAGATCGGGCTGGTTTGCTGTTTATTAACACTGTAACCCCAAGGCCAAAGTTATTGTACTGTTTGTTCAATTCTTTAGCTGTTTTTTTTTTTAGCTCTACTTTTAGTTGACATATCTGTGAACTAGATGGACACCTAGAAAAAAAAAAGAATTTGTTTTTTTTAACAAAATGGAGTAAGGGAGAATTTTTTGCTTCCCTGCTAGGTTGCTAAGACTTGGAGGCACTTCTAGAAATAATGCTATTCATGCAAGAGGAGCCAACATGGTTCTCTGCCATTGTTAATAGTGCTTATGTCAAATTAAATAATGTATATCCTCCTATATGATAATCATGCACACACCATACAGCAATTTACATCATTATTATTCCTACTCCTCAGTTTTGTGCTCTAATTACTTCCCAGACACTAGTTTGGTCAGATTTACTCTTCGAAGACATCTGTGTCTGAAATATTTAAACCTTTAGAAGTCAGGAAAGGTTGTGTCTAAAAGAAACGCTTTGCTTTATAAAAGGATTTGAAATCTTTTTCAAGTGCAGCTTTCTATCCTTTGATTGACGTCACGCCTGGCCAGGGGTTCACTCTAAAATAAGTCTCATGGCTAAGTTAGGAAACTCATAGTGTACTGGAGGAATGTGTAAAATAACAAACAATCTGGCTGGCTGTAAAAATACTTCACATGTTGAGGGGGCTCGATTCAGACAAGTAAGAACTCAGGGCAGCCCTTTAACTTGTATTTCTAAGCTTTATGCATTGTAGTTTTCATATGAAACATGACCAATAAGCCCCAGCAGTTTCTGTTTGGTGCGCTGTTGAACCAAAGGTTATAGAAAGCCACTCGAGCTGCGTGTTTGCAGAGATTCAAGACATTGCAGAAACAATGGGACTGATTGAAACTTGTGTTACTGTCACTAAAATTATCATCATTTTATTTCAGTCATGTCATTTGTTTATTTTTTTTAAAGATTTTTCCATGAATAGCTTCACATTGTATGTTGTTTATATGAATGAAAAGGAGCACAAAATATATGCCCCTTTCTACATACAAAAAACAGAATATAAAAGATGGTCTGGTGTGCAATTTACAATATAACTTCAAGCCATACAGGCAGGTCCTGTTTTGACAAAAAAAAAAAAAATCAAAGTTACATGTATGTCTTATGTTACATATTCTATAGCAGCATATAATAATTAATTATCAATTTAAATTGTTTTTTTTTTATTGATAAACAGATGAGGATTTTTTTATATTATTTCCACAGTTTGACTCCAAACATGGAGATACCATCTGCTTTTGGGTCGTTCTGTCAAAAGGGAGATTAAAGCTGTCAGGTTGGGAGGGGGTTAGAGAGGAGGAAACTAAATGCAAATGGTGGTTTCTTGCAGATATATAAAAGGTGGCAGCAGAAGCAAAAATTCAAAAACATAAATCCACAAAATACTGAAAACCAGGAATACTCACAAGAAGTGCAAAGAGATGACGATGAACCAGCAAATAGTAACTGAATAGGAGGTGTAAATATGGGAGACAGAAAAAAAGACCAGGCTAATCAGCAGATTGGAAGCAGGTGTGGACAGAGGAATCTAGAAGGAAGCTAGGGGGAAGGAGACTGACACAAAAGGACAACAGAGGGCGAACAAGAAATACCTAAGAACTCAAATACAATTAAAAAAATAACACACAATGAAAATGAAAAAAATGAAAACTCAAAGAGAAAACTTAAACAGAACCGAAGCAATGACAAAAGTTAAGTTTTCTATGACTGGATGAATTTGGGTTTAACTAGAAACATACTTTGTACTGTTTGAGGCAAAAGAGAATTTCTTGCTTTATAATTATGATTAATGTTTGCAATTTTATAAGGTCTTGTAATTTTTATTGTTTTGATTGTATAAATAGCTGATTTGTACGTTCTCTTCTATAAGTTTTGTTAGTAATTTGTATTGCTCTTTTTTAATAGTTATCAAAGGTTGGATAGTAGTTGTGTATCTTTCCCCAAACTTCTGAGCGATAAATGAAATAAGGCAGTATTATTGTGCAATATAAAAGCCTCAGTGCTATACAATAAAAAACAATTTTTTACTTTATGAAGGATGGAAATATTTTTTACATAATTTCTTTCTAATACAGTGTACATGGGATTACCAGTTGAATTTTTCTTCCAGTGTCACACCCAAAAATCTGAAATGAGAAAACGTTCCGTATTTTGTCAGCGTAATTGTGTCATCAGCAAATAATACAGATTTTAATATTTAAGGATTTTTATTGCTAGCAATACTTTCTAAATATTTTTTTATCCAATTTAACACCCCTTCCCTAATTCCATAAAGTGGTAAATTCTTTAACACAGTATTATGGTCTATGGTGTCAAAGGCTTTTTTAAAATCGATAAATAGCGCTTTGTTTATTTTTCTATCGCTGTGGTGATATGCACTGTGATTTTCTTAACACCAAGGCTGTGGACCTGTTTTTCGAAACCAAAGCTGACTCTCATTTAACAAATAATCTTTTTCTATATATATGAATCTTATCAAAACAAAACAGCTGAAAACAGTAAACTACACTCCAGGTCAGAAACCTTTCCATGCATATTTTATCTCCATTCTGAGTCAGAGACATGGGTGAAGCAATTACTTTTAGCACACGGATTAATAAATCACTCCTCCATAGGTTTTTCAGAAAGTTTATAACAAATTGCTTTTATAGGATGGATGATATCACCATGATGAAACATGTTGACAGTATGCCAATGCAAAGATATGATTTTATTCTCTACCGGTGAGGCCAATTGATTTCTATGTTGGGGAACACTAGCTGTTCATCTGTGGATGTGATCTAGTAAACCTGGGTTTCCCCTATCCACCACAATACACAAATCTTTGTTGTGAAAAAGCTGTTAAAGAAATACCCTTATTGTCGCTTTAAGTCTGTGTCTGTGAGGTGTGACGCTTTCAGCTCATCCCTACCTCAGACCGAAAGCTATGTGGGAGAGACCTGAGCACTGGGAAGCATGTTTTAGCAGTTAGCATTAAAAAGTAGCTTTAAACCACATCACTTAGTTTATGAAGCAGAAGAAGTTTTCTTCACACAAAAATTTTGAACACAAAAATATGTTAAGATCTGAGTTATATGTTATAATCTGGTTTTACTATAGTTTGGAATTTATGGAGTGTTATTCTTGAAAACAGAAGACTTTGTTTTACATTATGTGCTTCTCTTTTTTTCTTGTTAAATATTTTTATAGTCCTAGTGTTTTTCAGTTAAATAAGATTTTCATAAGTGTTTTTGATACTTCATTTGTTGTTCTTTCTCATTGGTCACTCTCTTTAGGGCCTCACTTGTTTGCCTGCATTGCAAAAAAAGTCTTTTAAGATGGCCATATAAATTAATGCTAATGAAGAAATGTCCCAATAATGTTTAATGGATTGCTATAAATTTTAGTTTTAACTATACACAACTTGTTTTTGTATATTTTCCAAACTTTGAACCCCCAAAATGTCAGTTTTGGCACTAAAAGTTGTTTTTTTTTTTTTCTTCAGTAAAAAAAAAAAAAATTCATATGAGTCATTTTTGTGACATATTGCAAATTCATTACTTTTTGCTTTTATTGCAAACCTTTGGATACCCAAATACGGCTGGGAGAACCTCATATGGTTTTGCTAATTTGCAGGCTCTGCGTCAGTTCATTCTAATCTATCATTGTGCTAATTTGCTAAGAAGCCAACACCCTACTTTCAAATAGAGAAAAAACATGATTATTTTTTTATCTTAAGCTTAAAATGTATTAGGATTGTTTGTCTAGGTTGGTTATTGGTTGACCTGCATTGGCAGTTGTCTACCATCTGTTATCCTTAAACTCAAATTCAGTGTATTTTCTCTGCATCTATCTGCAATATATAAGAAATTTGTATTTTTTTATGTATAGTTTAATAGTTCTTTTGAAAATCAGATGATGGGTTCAATGTAAAAACATTTTTCTAGTAGCTTGAGTAAATATTAAAGTTGAGTTTAGCTGCACAAATGACAAGTGTACAATTCTAATAAACGTCTTCTGCAGAAATTCTTGATTTTTATTTGTGAATCCATTTACTTGTTATTATATTTCATATTTTGCTTGGCAAAAAATTCCTCCTATGAGATTAAAAATCTTGATGGATTTTTTCCCCCTGGTAGAATAAAATATAAATAAATAAATAAATCAGTATTCTTCTTGTTATCTGTGATGGGAAGGAAAACCTGATTCTTTATCCAGCCTTGTTTGTCAGTTGTTGATTTTTGCTAGCGGATCATTTTTGTAGCCTTTTCCAGACTAATAGGAATCAAAACACAGTATTTAGCCTGTTGAAAAGGTTCATTCTCATATCTTTTCCATTTTGAAGAAGAGCCAAGAGAAATTGGCCTCTGTACCACATCGTAGTTATATCTATGGGATATTCGAAGTTTGTAAACAGTTCTAATTATCAACTATTGTAAGTTATGATTTGCTTGCTTATGATCTGCGGTATTTTAGACACATTAAAATATTGCTTCTCATGCCAATGCGCTGTGTTCTTATTGGTCAGCTGGGGGTTCAAAGTGGAAAAGGAGAAATCTAAATTTCGGGGATCTAGTTAAATTCACATTCACATTGAAACAATATCTTTTTTTCAAAAAGGTGAAGGCATACAGCAGTTAATAGTCAAATACCTTCAGTAATAAAGCAAACTGTCAGAATTGTATTACATTTTACATATTATTTATGTAGATTTTGTTTAATATTTATGAAAAAAGGTATTAGTGTAGGAGTTAAAAGAAACTGAAATTAGTAAAATTACTTTTTATTTTATTTTTCAAACATACTTTCTTACATTGTTTTTTCACACTCTTTTTTTTCTTTACAGATGACACATCAACTAAAGAAGTCAGCAAGGTGGGTTCTTATTTTTATGTCTTGGATTGAGTTAAATGCCGCACAAAGACATTTTTTTTAATGTTACGTTTTTCCACAGTTTGTCTTGTTGTATATACATTATCGAATCCACTAAAGGGTTTTGTATCAAAAGACACATGCAAACCAGAACGCTGGATCAGAACTAATGTACTAATACCCCTTACCCACTGGCCGAAAAACTTACTTAATAAACCCGATAGATGAACAGAGGAGACGCATTTTGCCACCAAAGGTCAGACCAGGTTTTTTTGCCAAGGAGAGTGGTGGCCTAGTGGTTTGGGCATTGCGTTTGGGTTCCAGAGGTTCTAAGTTCAAGCTCCACTCCCATGCCTGCCACTCCGGATCCCTGAGCAACACCTTTAAACCCCACACTGCTCCCCGGGCGCTGCACAATGGCAGCACGCTGCTCCCCAAGGGGATGGGTTAAATGCAGAGGTAAATTTCTCCAATGTGAGATCAATAAAGTTTTTTTTTTTTTTTCATTTCAATGGAAAGGGATCCAAATGCAGATTGTTAGTCGGTTGATCCGTGATTGAAAAACCTGGATTAACCCGCTAATATCAGAGAGAGACGCAGCCAGAATAGTGTCTGCTAAATGAGCCATCCATGTGTCCCTTCGTAAATATGCAGAAGAATATGCAAAGTACTGGGAAAAGGACATTAAAATTTCAATGCTTTTTTTTTATTTTGAATATTTGCAAATAGCTATTTGAAAAATTGTTTGGTGCATATTTATTAAGGCCCTACTAACAAACATTTTGTAAAACATTTCACAGTAATTCAAGTCTCGTATTGGTTCTACCATCTTTGTGCATCTAGAGACATTTTTTTTCCTAAGTCTCCTTTGCAAAATAACACAAGCTTAATTAGATTTGCTGCAGAGCCCATGTATATAGCAAATCTAAAACTTGGATCCTTAACTTGGTGAAGGTCTATACTACATTAACAGAGGTATAACTTTGATCTGAACCAATCCATTATGACTTTGGCTGTAGATTTAAGATTATTAACCTAGAAAGTGTACTTTCCAGGTATACTTTCTTTTGCATGTATTTGGATCCACATCTCATTTCCCACTAACTTCTGTGTGATTTTTTAAATAACATTCCCAGAGCTTGATGCTGCTAAAATATGAATATAACCAGAGCTTCTTCCTACTCCACACGTTTCCTCTGCCACCTTCATGAATTATGAAAAACTACTTATTTTCTTTTCATCATAAAAAATTTATCTTTCCACCTTCTGCTAAAGTTTTATGTCAGATACTCAGTGGGTCGCTGTCCCGTTAACCTAAGCTGTGAACCTCTGCAGCACCTCCAGAGTTACCAAAAGCCTCTTGGCTCCTTTTCTGAAAAATGCTCTCCTTGCCAGATTAGGTGTAAATCATTGTTTCGGTAGCTGTGTCATTCTTTCGTTATTTTTACATGACTAGTTGAAAAGAGCACTTTGAGAAGCTTAAAGATTGGAATATTTTTTATCTCCTCACCCGATGTTTGAGCTTCTCCACATAATTTGAATATACCTGACTGTTTTGTTTGCTTTATGACACCTTAATAAAACAGCTGGGTTTATATATCATGCAACAGATTTTATGTTGGGGTTTCAGAGTAAAGGGTTCCAGAATCCAAATGCATACCAGATATACACTATATTGCCAAAAGTATTTGCTCACCCATCCAAATTATTGGAATCAGGTGTTCCAATCACTTCCATGGCCACAGGTGTATAAATTCAAGCACCTAGGCATGCAGACTGTTTTTACAAACATTTGTGAAAGAATGGGTCGCTCTCAGGAGCTCAGTGAATTCCAGCGTGGAACTGTGATAGGATGCCACCTGTGCAACAAATCCAGTCGTGAAATTTCCTCGCTCCTAAATATTCCACAGTCAACTGTCAGCTGTATTATAAGAAAATGGAAGTGTTTGGGAACGACAGCAACTCAGCCACGAAGTGGTAGGCCGCGTAAACTGACGGAGCGGGGTCAGCGGATGCTGACGCGCATAGTGCGAAGAGGTCGCCAACTTTCTGCAGAGTCAATCACTACAGACCTCCAAACTTCATGTGGCCTTCAGATTAGCTCAAGAACAGTGCGCAGAGAGCTTCATGGAATGGGTTTCCATGGTCGAGCAGCTGCATCCAAGCCATACATCACCAAGTGCAATGCAAAGCGTCGGATGCGGTGGTGTAAAGCACGCCGCCACTGGACTCTAGAGCAGTGGAGACGCGTTCTCTGGAGTGACGAATCGCGCTTCTCCATCTGGCAATCTGATGGACGGGTCTGGGTTTGGCGGTTGCCAGGAGAACGGTACTTGTCTGACTGCATTGTGCCAAGTGTAAAGTTTGGTGGAGGGGGGATTATGGTGTGGGGTTGTTTTTCAGGAGCTGGGCTTGGCCCCTTAGTTCCAGTGAAAGGAACTCTGAATGCTTCAGCATACCAAGACATTTTGGACAATTCCATGCTCCCAACTTTGTGGGAACAGTTTGGAGCTGGCCCCTTCCTCTTCCAACATGACTGTGCACCAGTGCACAAAGCAAGGTCCATAAAGACATGGATGACAGAGTCTGGTGTGGATGAACTTGACTGGCCTGCACAGAGTCCTGACCTCAACCCGATAGAACACCTTTGGGATGAATTAGAGCGGAGACTGAGAGCCAGGCCTTCTCGTCCAACATCAGTGTGCGACCTCACAAATGCGCTTCTGGAAGAATGGTCAAAAATTCCCATAAACACACTCCTAAACCTTGTGGACAGCCTTCCCAGAAGAGTTGAAGCTGTTCTAGCTGCAAAGGGTGGACCGACGTCATATTGAACCCTATGGATTAGGAACGGGATGTCACTTAAGCTCATATGTGAGTCAAGGCAGGTGAGCAAATACTTTTGGCAATATAGTGTATATTGTCAATATTAAACTTGGATGTTTTTTTCACACACAAAAAACAGCCGCTGTCTAAACGATTGTGCAGTGAGTCAAGCACCAGCCAATGGTTTACTTTAAGCTGCTAACTGCTCCGTTAGCATTTCTAACACTGAAGACTCAGGTATTTTTTTTCCTAACTAATTAGCTAGAAAGAAACTGGGGGAAAAGGAAGCTCCCCCGTGTCACACCTTAAGCCACACCTTTTCCCAGGATCAGATGGGTCCACCTCAGAAGAACCAACTTATTACACTCTATCTCACAGAAAAATAAATGAGGTCCCCTTAACCCCTCAGTGCGTCATCCTTACGTCTGCACAAACAGGATGTGGGAGGGCAGAATGCGTCCCGTTGGGGATGCTTTCTAGTGCACCACTCTCCCTGCTGTCCTGTCCTCACCCTCTCTGCAGCCGCAGAAATAGACATCCCTTTGGCCTCGTAAAAAGGGCCGGAGGTTTGTCTTTTTGTACAGCCAAAGCTCAAAGCTGAGGCTCTGCAGCAGGGCTTACCATGAATCCAGTTAGAACTGGCGGTGTTAAAACATATTCTAAAACCACTTGGGATCTTTGTGCCAAAATGCAGTGGTGAAAGTGAATATTAGTGTCCTGGATGATAATATTTTTATGAATGCCAAAAGGATGATAATTTTTCTCAAAGATTGACAAATATGAGCTTCCTGTATGATGAATATAAATCTACAGTATGCAACACAAAATTCAAACCAGTGTCATTTTCACGTTCTGTGTTTTGTCCAGCAGTACCAGGACACAAACATGCAGGGTGTGGTGTATGAACTCAACAGCTTCATGGAACAGCGCCTGGACACTGGAGGAGACAACAAACTCCTGCTCTATGAGTTATCCAACATAATCAAAACAGGTAAAAGCAGATAAATCCATGTGTGGAACATTATTACACAAATGCTCCTAAACAAAAGTCACACAGAGGAGCCTTTTTTTTCGTCTGAAAAAAAAAAAAAAAAACCTGCTTGTATATGAAAAATTCCTGGGTAAACATCTCTGAATGAGCTTGGGGTCAAACACAGAATACCAGAGGGTGGGGGGGGGGGTGGTTTCATGATAAAAATAACTCTGAAGATGTCTTTAAAGGCAACATATCACATTTTTTTATAACTTTTTCTTTCAGCGGTTTTAAAGCTTGTAGATAATGATACTTACATTCCTTCCCCTTTCCAGAGTCAGTAAGCGTTTAAAAAACAAACGCGCATAATATGTATGGAACACCCAGTCTGGTCATCAGTGCATAAAATAAAGGCCACCCAAGATGATGGTAGTGACAGCAAAGTCTCCAGCTGGAACGTGAGCTAATAAGGCAAAGATTTATATGTTGATCTGCCCAATGGGAAGGAGGAAGTTGGAGGGAAAATGATATCTAGGAGCAGTAGCATGGAGACCTTATCGATTTTAAGATAAACTTTTACTGACCAATCTGCCTTTAATTAATCACAGTTACAACTTATAACAATATTTTTTAACAAAAAAAAGAAAGAAAACTGTAATTCTAAATCTTATAGTCTGGTTATGACCTGTATTGTTCCTGACTAGTAGCAGTGAATGGAAAAAGTTAGAAATCTCACTTTTTATACCCAAGTTTAATTATGATGGTAATCTACTATAGCTGTCAAAATGTTGGGTAGATACCATGTGTCTTCCCGTTCACGTCTTGCGAGTCTATTTTGTGCGACAAAGTGTTATTTTACCCTAAAAAGAATAAGATTAAGGCAAAACAATGAAAAGATTACATTTCCAATGCTAATGTGCAATCAGACCCAAACTGCAGAATTTGTCCTCATGTTCATTTGGCTCAGTCACTGAGGAAAAAAAGGTTTAGCACTTCTGATACATATAACTGGTTAAACAGGCTGGACTGATGCTTAAAATGAATGGTTAATGACCCAATTATTACAGTAATCTTTGGATATTCAAATATGTTTGTGCTGGAAAAAAAAAAAACTTAGCTGAGAAAATGTTATCTTACTGTATAAAGCAAAATCCCCAGTCTTGAGCCACTGGTTATCCCTTTCGCTGGAGGTTACGACTCCCAATTCTGTTAATTTTGGGGTAAAAAGTGTTCTCTAAAGGAGAAACTGTTTTTCACCCTCTTCCGCTATTTGTGTGGCAAATAGCTACTCATTTATTCCGCACATTTCCGTTTAAAGTTTTCTTTTGTCTGGAAAAAAAAAGCTACTTTCTGTTGGAAAGAAATGCATTTTACCATGGCGCTTTATATGTACAAATGTAGGCACAATATTTTCCTAAAAGTATTTGGCTTCACTCAGGTGGTTTTGGTACGTTTAAAAGAGGACGTTTGTGTTCCTGTTGGTGTAATGGATTTTACTTCAGGACTCTCCCATGGATGCCACGTAGTTTTGAACACAGACTTTAAATACATTTTTTGAAGTCTGCAATGATTAAGATGTTGTTTCCGGGTTTTGCGCCTTTCTGAATAAATTATCAGTGCACGATTGGAGTAATTTTGGTTCCTGCGTCAGGTTCACCACTGTTACACATTTATTCCATTATCATATAAAGGCCCTCTCTGTGACTTTCTAAAGCCCTAAAACCCATAAAACGCAGCTTTCATATTTTTTTCCATCTGTTCCCTAATTTGTTGAGATAGGCTTGTGATGTTTTACTTTACACGATTTCAAACTTTGAAGTTTGAGTAGCAGAGATTTGTAAATAGCGCTGTTAGCAGCTGAGTTATGTCCGAGGTTAACCACTTCATCTCTAACCAAAAGAAATCGACAATAGTGTCAGTAAGTTGAAGCTTGCAGTTAAAAACCCAGTTAAAAATATGCCGATCCACCCAAAGCTCAGCTCTCATTAACTTCCTGATCATTTGTGTATTGTGTGCACCAGCAGCCTCTCTGATGTCACACTGTATGATAACATGACCTATATAGGAGTGTGAAATAGGACTGTAGAGGAGGACTGGGAACGAGACGAACTGGAAGGCAGTGAAGGCCTCAGTCAGGGAACACTTGTTGCTATGTGGGCCATTGTTAGATTGCAGCCGCCTTGTGTATTTCTGCCCTTTACTATTAGAGGACATTTGTAAGAGTGCTGAAGTGAGTGGTATTGAAGCAAATGTATGTGTTTTCTGTGTCTTCTCTTTCTACAGCAACAAAAGCTGATAGTTTTGCACTTTATTTCTTGGGAGAATGCAACAATGTGAGTAATAAATGATCCTTTGGTTTACATTATATTCTCTTTTTCTATATTTTTTTTATCACCTGTTGTTTTCTCTCTTTTTTATAACAGAGTTTATGTTTATACACTCCAAGGGGGGCCAAGGATGGCCATCCAAGCCTCGTCCCGTCGGGCCCCATCGCATACGGGACAACCATTGCCGCTTATGTTGCCAAGACTCGCAAAACACTGCTAGTGGAAGACATTATGGGGGTAGGACTGCTCCCTTTAAACCAAAATAAAGTCACTAACTTACTAAAACCATGGAACATTTAATATTCACAGTGTATATAATGCAAATATATTTTTATATGTTGTAACGTTACAAGCACAAGCTTCAATGCCTTTTAGCTGGATTTAATGTGATTGACCAGAATAAAATAAAATATAATTTTAATATATAGTTATAAATATAACTTTAAAAGGTGTATTTGTATTCACCCCACTTTATTCTTACACCACCAAATAAAACCCAATGTCACTGATTATTGAGGGGAAAAAACACCATTAAACACCAAGGAACACAGTTAAGATACAAAATATCTTGTTTGTTTCCTCTGCTGGAAAAAGTTTACTTTATAATTTGTTTTATTATTTTAATTTGTTCTTTTTTATCATCTAGTCTTGTGTTTACCTATATGATTCCATTGCTTGTTTGCTTTGAAATGACCATCCTCAGTCTTCCCAATGGAGGGTGAATAAAACATTTCACTTCTATTCTCTTCTTTAATCCATTAATGAAAATGAAAAGATTATAATGCAATTGTACAATACAAGGCTGAATAATCAGAGACGGGAACAACATTTTCACTGGATAGTCAGGGGGGCAAGAAGACATTTTTGTTAAAAGATTCAAAAACCTGTCTGTATGATGCTGCAAGCCATGTGCTTGTGCAGATCAGGAGAGATCAAAATAAACATGTTTGTATAACCCAACTCTGAAAATACTAAATCTGTTGAGAAACCTGGCAGTAGTACTAGCATGCTGTCAGGATGCTTTTCTTTAGCAGTGACATAAAAGCTGAAAAGAGCTGATTGAATAGGTCATTAACAGGGTAATCCTGTCAGAGGATGCAAAAAGCACATGGCTGGAGCGGAAGTTTACCCTTTGGCAGAACAACAGCCATAAACATACAGCCAGAGCTTCAATGGCTTGATTTATCAAGGTACAGTTAATTAATCCAGGTTTAGTCCCAGATCCATCTGAAAAACAATGACATGAATTAAACAAATTGTCTTCATGCATTCGGACTGAGCTTGATTTAGTTCTGCAAAAATTGACATTTTGAGCTTTTCATTAAGCTATTTTTTTGTTCCTTGAAAACAAATTGTTAATTTCCTATCCACTTTACAATTATTCACCACTGTGTTGATCTGACACTTGAAATTTTAATGAGGAATTGAGGAGCTTGTGGTTGTGATGTTACAAAATGTTTTGAAAATGTAAAAGTTTATGAGTACTTTTAATCATAAAATAACATCAAGTGTCTTTTTATTGTAATTTCTATGCTTATTTGCCTGTTTTGGTTAGAGTACAGAGTATTACAAACTGCAGTTTTCTGCTAGATGTCAGTCTGAGCAAAGACAGATTCCAGAAGAAAAGATCTGCAATGATCTTCTGTGATGGAAAATCTACAATTCTAAACAAATCTCAACAAACAAGTCAATCAAACAAACCCAAATGGTTGAATACACAGTTGCTATTTTTGTGCATGGCTACAGGCTTTCTTAAGATATCCATCAACCATACTTCTTGTATAACATTGTTTAGCCTGATGTTTAGTACAGTTTAGTTAAACTAAACTTTTAACTGGTCCATGTTTTTTTTAGGACGAGCGGTTTCCGGATGGCACAGGGCAGGACTCAGGGATCCATGTTCACTCTGCCCTGTGTCTCCCCATCCTCACTGCCATTGGGGACCTCATTGCTATCCTGGAGCTGCATCGGCACTGGGGCAGGAAGCCTTTCAACCTAAGACACCAGGAGGTCAGAGCAACTAGACACCAGCAAGTTTTTAAATACAGCTAAGGCAGTTCTGATTAAATCATTTCTGCAATATTTTTACAATATAATCCTTAAAACCACTTGAAAAGCCAAACTCCCCACAGAAAAGGTTGAAGCTGGGAGCAACAGGAAGATGTTGCATTGCTTTCAATCCTGCTGACTTCTACTGGACTTCTGTTTCAAATGTTCATAACTTTCTGAGATACAGTAATCAGACAGGTTTGTTGTGTTTTACTGAATGAAAAACCAGTATTATTAAAAGCATACAGTTACAGAGCCTAATAATTATTACAAGGGCATGATAAGTCAGATTTTATTTGTTTTTTGTTTGTTTGTTTTTTTACTTCAATTGCTTATTTTTTCTTCTTTATTCTATTAACTTCGATAAACAGCCCAGCTGATTTCAGACTGGTTTTTCCCCCAAGATGAATGTTAACTTTCAAGAATATGGTTATTGTTAAAAAAAAGTTAGTTAAAGCAAATATTTGCCATTGTGATTTTTATGTTGTTGTTAGTAAAGACTCTTAATATGCAGGGTACTACATTTTAAAATTACAAGGAAATTTGATTAAGGAATCAAAATATATATCAAAAAACAAGAAACAAGAGTATTTATTTTTAATGAATTTAGAGCATAATTGTTCTTTCATAGGAAGTAAGAAAATTATATATACCGTAAATTCTCTAATATTGG